GGAAAGNAGAGACAGACAGAGAGAGGTATGAGAAATATTGCAAGAAAGTGAGAGTGAGAGAGTGAGAGAGAGAGAGAGAGAGAGAGAGAGAGAGAGAGAGAGAGAGAGAGAGACAGACAGACAGAGAGAGGATATCAAATCAAACTCGGTCGATCAATTTAATTTTAATGCCAACCGTAAATATTTAACCACCTTCCTTGTTAATATAAATCGGTGCTATTAAAAGTCAAGATTCAACCGTCTATCGCACTCGTGGAAGAAATGTACAGGTATGTTGACAAGCACGATAGAAGGGATCAGTACCTGCGCTACATACAAATGTCTTCTGAGGGCCAGCTCCTCGAAAGAATGCCAATTAATTTCCTTGTACCGAACCCGACGCCATAGCGTTGTAAATTCTTTATAGAATCTCGTGAAATCCTCCGTTGAAAGGAAATTGTGATATCGTGATGAACTCGTGGTTCGAACAAATAGGAAGTGACATTTAAAAAACGAGAAGCGACGAGATGTGAACACATAGATAAATTAGGACGAGAAGTAGAAAAATGAGAATTTGAAATACTGATTAAAAAACGTTCAAATTTATTCTTTATACATTTTGAATACCTGGGCTGAAGTCAAAAAATAAGTAATACTGAGTTTCTTAGTCGCTGTGCTATTCTGTACATGTACTTAGTTCTTCCATTTTCCGTTGAACGTTTTTACCTTTTACACATCCATTTTTGAGCCGTCGGCTTTACCACGTGGAAGCAAAAAGGCATTTAAACAGATGATACATAGTAGTGTCTGTGGAATTTATAATTATAAAAGCGGAGAAAGATTTGTGACGAGGTTAAAGCGACCCAGGCCGGTTCCGTCTGACAAAAATCATCTAAGTAAACAAAACACGTGCCAACCGGTGACACAAATCTTACTCCGTTCTCGACTCCTTGAAACACCGTTGTCATATTGTCATACAAAACAGGTGGCACTTCATTTTTTTTCTTCAAATTATGGCACCTTTCGTTTGTGTAAACATTCGCTACGGCTTGTAGTGCCGTCTCGTGTACATCATTTCAACCGTCACTAAACATTTCATCGATAAGATTTTGTTTTTGAATTTTCAAACAGAAATATGTATGTGTAATTCGTACCCATACCCGTTTACGATGAAAAAATCAAACAATATATTTCTTTGTTTCGACAAGGTTTTGTTTCCAAACGGCATAGATTTTTAAAATTTTTGGTATTATGTATACACTCTTCCCTTGCTGTCCCCTTCTTTGTTCGACGCTAGCAATGGTTCTCAAGCAATAAAAAAGTGATGACTTTTAGAAAAACGGGACAGAAGCGTAAAGTTTTATTTGTTCTAAGTTTCTGACGTGACATTTTACAGAGGGTGTAATTAAATAATAAAACGTAATCCACTTCAATTCAGAACCGAAATCCAGTATGTTTTCATTTTTAATGTTCAAACAAGAATTTTAACATATGAGAGAAATCTTATTGAAAATAAATAATTGCATAATTTACAACCGTACAGTTACGAAGGAAAACAGCTGACTCATGAATTCGCACATCCAAATAAATTCTAAACAATTTATATAGAAAAAATTTCAAAAAATTGTTTTTGCTGTGTATCGTTTTTATCCCCAGGTAAAGAAGTGAACTCCTTGAGGTAACTGTTAATTAATTATTGGTGCTGTTTTTCCCTGATGCAATTTATGTAAAACACTAAATGTTATGCAGATATTATGGAAGGATAGTGCGATGCTCTGATAGGTCAGAGGAATTATGTTTGCACACGTACGTCTCTCTATCACTCACTCTCTCTCTCACTCTCTCTCTCTCTATCATTCTTGTCGTATACCCACTTCCTTACATATCTCTCTCTCTACATATCTCACTTTCCTCGCCTTACTTGTCAATCACTCCTTTTTTTACTATATTTCTCACTTTCCATACCTCACCACCACCTCTCTCTCTCTCTTTCTCTCTAATGCTATATTTCTCACTTTTCTCACCTTACCTGTCAATCACTCTCTCTCTTTTGCTTTATTTCTCACTCTCCACACCTCACCCCACCACCATCTTCCTCTCTTTCTCTCTCTCTCTCTAACGCTCTTTTTCTCACTTTCCACACCTCTATCTTTTGTACAATATTTCTTATCTGTACAATATTCTTTGTACAATATCTCTGTCCCCTTTTCTCTTTTCATTTCTTCATTTATGTATGTATCTCTATTGTCTCTGTCTGTCCACTTTCCTCACATCTCTCCCTCCTTCTCTCTCTCTCTCTCTCTCTCTCTCTCTCCCTCTAATGCTATATTTCTCACTTTTCTCACCTTACCTGTCAATCACTCTTTTTTTTGCTTTATTTCTCACTTTCCACATCTCACCTCACCTCCCTCTTTCTCTTCATATATCTATCTTCTATCTCAATTTCCCTCCCTCTCCATCACTCTCTCTCTCTCTCTCTCTCTCTCTCTCTCTCTTGCTATATTTCTCACTTTCCACACCTCTCTCTTTCCTACAATATTTCTATCTCTGTCTCCTTTTTCCCTTTCCATTTCTTTATTTATGTATGTAGCTCAATTGTCCTTTNCTCTCTCTCTCTCTCTCTCTCTCTCTCTCTCTCTCTCTCTCTCTCTCTCTCACTCTCTCTCTCAGGCTCTGTCTACTTTGTTTCTTTTCATTTCTTCATTTATACATATATCTTTCTTTCTCTCTCTCAATTGCTATGTTTTTAACTTTCCTTACATCTCTTCCTCACTCGCTCTCTCTCTTTCTGTCTCCTCTTTTTCTCTTCATTTCCTTATTTATGCATGTATCTCTTTCTCTCTCTTTCTTGTTATATTTCTCAGTTTGTTCTTTTTCTTCGCACTCATGCGCGCGCAATCGCGCACACACACCACGAACGCACTACAATGTTATTTTAATTTTTTTTAAATGTATTTTACATTAGATTCCAGCGCCAGTATGTTCGGGGAATGATCCCTACTATGAGTATCGTCCTTGCAAATCTCACGATTAGTTCAGGTCCTGAGGAAGAATGGTGGTAAAGCAAGACGAACGGGCTGTGCACCTCGGCTCGTTTCGCTTGCAACATTCAAAAATAGATTGAGCAAATGTCAGCTTCCGACCGAAAACATTTCCTCACGACCGTTTATTACATTACATTGGACCCAATAGTTATGTAAATAATAAAATTTCGTTATCAATGTACCAGCTGGAGGTAACTGTCCCTAGAAAGAAACTCCACTAGTTAAACCACAGTATAAAACGTATATTTTTGTATATAAAAATTCTGTGATGATTGTTTGAAAAACCCTTACTGGGCCTTATAAAAACAGCACAATAATTAATCGTTAAATAGCCCTACGATAAAAAATAAATCGACAAAGTCTTTTTTCTTGGATAAAAATTTAAAAGGTGAAAGTATGATTTTTATCGTCATTTTTTCTCCGTCTCGAAGGAAATCATAGATTCGTTATGTTTATGAATTATATTTCTAGAATTTGCTTTAGAATTAATTGTATAGAGGATCTAGACAAAGATTTGAAAACTTTTTAATCAATTTATATCGGTTTATTGTCAATTAATGTCAAGGTACTGAAGCTGCCTCTTTTGCGACACAATCTCTACATATGTCCAACGCCGTAATTATGCAGAAATACTAAGCCCTTATTCAGTATCTATAAATTTTGTAGACTTCCTATTAAGCGGCGGTTTGAAAATGCCGACATTTCCAGTCAACTTCCTTCAATTATTTTCCGTTAATCCGACTCATTTGGTCGTTAAACATTCCCCTATCTTGCAAATTTAAATACTGGTTTGGTAGTAAGTGCATAGCTTGCATGCTTTCTTTCGTCGCTATCCAGGGCCGCTCTTTCTCCAACAAAACAGAATATTTTCAATTCACTTTTGTCATTCTATTTTTATACAAAAATTTGTAGAATTTTTTGGCGAAAGCAAGTTATGCTTTTTCTGACCATCGGTTTGTTGTTTTTAACTGAAGCTCTCCTTCGCCAACAATCTCTTCAGTGCGTCTTCTTTAAAAGTTTCTTTTATACCCATGCGTGCTAGTTGGAATTTATTTATAGTTCTGAAAAATACCGCGCTTTAATTTTTCAAGTTATTTGTTTTGCGACAATTTGGCATTTTATATTCTTTTTGCGAAATATTTTGTTTTTCACTGTAGGAAAGATGTTCTACTTGACTGTCTCCAAAACAAGACAATGGAGATGGCTTCCTTTCGGAGAGTTCGCTTTGGATCGAACGAGTCCTGATTTTCCCATGTTTGGGTTTTTTCTACCGCCTCTCTTGCCTGGTACGCAATGCCTCGTCGAGAAAAGTTGATAAGATATTCACTAGTTTTCGTGGTCTGCTTGACCAATATCTTTAGCTATACACGCCTATAGCTCAGGTGGTAGAGTAGCGGCGTATCTACCCGAAGGTCGTGGGTTCGAATCCCGCTCGTCACATTGATTTTTTTATCTCAACTAAAAACCTTAATTAATTGATTTATAAGATATGTTTCATGCCATGTTCTACCCCATCGCATGACGCCAGACTATGATCCGCCAGTGTTCACCTATTCGCAAATTGTAAATGTCGGAATTCACGTCGTAGTTAAACATGCCGACAGCATTTGCACCAACAAGAGCTTCTATCGAACATACCCAGTTACCGCGTAGTGTTAAAAATAATAGCATCTGTCACAATTCTACCCATTTTTTCTAATGTTTTCAACATCGAAAATGGTCTGTGCCGCATGGAGGGGCGAGGACCGAAATCTCTGGTATTGGCTGAAGCTCGAGCTCCTCTCGAGACGAATGCTGCAGTTTAGCAAGCAGTGTGCTTAGTGTTACTGTCGATAGTAAACAAAATGAACATTTTGCGTTGGTCTGCATCATCATGACTATCTAGTTTATATTCACGATTCAAATATATTACGATATTTGCAAATACCACTGTTTTAATTTGAAAAGAGTTGCATAAATTAAGGAAGATATAACTCATTTTACAATAACGAAAAAACATGTTTATTAAAAATATTTAACAACTTAAACAACACACCTAGAATGTGGTCTATTTTTTATCTTCGTCCTCCGTCTTATTAATAAATCTGCTGAACAGCTGAAACATCAAAGTGCAATAAAATATATAAGAAAATCACTTTAAAATGAAATAATAAATACCTTGCTTGCTGGGTGAATCTTATACTTATCTCGATCCATCGATTGTGTCTTATTTTGCAGTTTAAGCCAACTGTAATGGACTAAAATTATTGTTGGGATCATGACGAGGTACACTAGGTTTCGGGACACAAACGTCTCTTTTGGATTAGCCATCTGGATTCAGAATTTTAGAGAAAAGAAAATAATCATTAATTTGAAAGTTTTGAAACGATCACATAGTTGAGAATGTTGTTGGAGATTGACATTGATGTGTGCTCTTAAAAAAAAGGCGAAAACAAAAGATATACCAGAAAATAGAAGTGGGTTGTTGTCTTCTCAACTCAATAATGGAGAAGTGCGGAAACACTAAAGAGCGAGAATGTGCGGACAGGGTTAATCAGGGACGTCAATTGAACAACTCGCAGGCCAACCAACAAATCCAATCGACAAAAACATTCCAAATTTAGATTTACTTCATTGCATTTCGAATTACAACCATACTTCATACTCTTGTGTATTTTTTTATCAGTGCGCTACAAGCAAATCGTTCATCTTCATAAATTTTATATTATAACAATATTAGAGTGGAGAGAAGGATTGGAATGAGGTTCGAGGTTTTGTGGACCCTTCTGTATCAACTTCTTCCAGTTTCGATTTCAAATCGGATTTTGAGGTCTGAGGGGATATAAGTTTGGATAAGAAGTAGGTAACTTGGAGAATGGTTCGAAGGATTTTTGACTAGAGTGACTCAAAGTTCAATTCCATACAGCCAGATTGGTAATAGTAATGATATGTAGAAGAGTTGTTTGTTTTCTAGTGAGAGTTTCGATCTGTTGTCAAATAGTTTGAGTATATCGTCTTGTTCTATTGTTTTGAAGGGGTTCCAGTTATTTCTTTTGTCGATGCAAAGTCCCAAATAGAGGACGGCATTAGTTACTGGGAAAGAAGCATAGAAGATTGGAGAAATGTATATGGCCTGAAGGTTATTTGCTCGGATTTGGTACATTGAGTTTCCATTCTTCCAAACAGGTCTTGGAGGTTCTGACGGCTACTACTTGGCGATATTTTAGGCCATTAAAGGCGTACATGTTTTTATACAGAAAGATCATGCCAACAGATAACAATATACAACCAGATTCAAACAGAGTACTCGTTGAACTATTAGTGCACTCCGTATGTTTCTTTTAGTTGGTCCAAAGCAATAATTTAACTTGATTTATAATATTTACATATTAATGCAATGTTTAACCATGTCTTTCACTTGTCGACATTCTTGAACTATTTTTCAAAACAGGAGATATGGTCCAGGAGTTTCGGAAGGCCACTACTGAGTCTGAGTTTGCTGAAAGTATGGCGGTATCGTCTCCACATATGTAATGAGTACTGTGTCGGGATGTCTGCAGTGGGCACCGAGTAGAGGAAGGGACTAAGGATGCTGCCTTAAAGAACACCCGCTTCGGCATAGTGAATCCGGACTCCGATTCCGAATAAGCAAATGTAAGGATGCCCTTAAGTTTCCAGAGCAAGCCCGAGTGGCAAACTCGATTGGGAAATAGGTGATTCGAAGGAGTGAGTTGTAAATGGTGGTAAGGAAAAGTATAGCTTTTTTGGGAAGATTTTCGGAGCATGTTTGTGGTAATGAGGTCAAATCCTAGGGATTTTTTAACGGGCGGTGACTGATAAGATATTTGCCCTCTGATGTGAAGGTTTAGGGGTGGAGAAAGTGGTAAACGACAGTCTAGGTGTTACTGAATTTGTCTTGTCGGTGATTGCTTAGGCCTGTGTGAGGTGGGATAAGTACGATGCAAATAAAAAGGTTTTATCTTCGTCAGTCCAAGTGCCGTCCTCACGACGAAGAGGAGAATGAACGGATTTATAGGAAAGGAGTTGAGTACTAAGAGATAGAGTGTAGGCTCTGATGTGTTCAAATCTGAGCAGATTGTGTTCGTCTTGAGGCCGACGAGTGGCCTGTTCAGGAGAAAAATAATAATTTATGCCTGTGCCGATTTATAATAGTATGGAAACCCCCAATTTACATGTCGTCAATCATTCTACGTAATATAAGATCTAAAAAAAAAAATTTGGCATTTTTTCTTAGCAAAGGAAAATCAGGATGCGTGTAGATAATCAATGCATCATGGTATAAACCGCTAGGGTTGCTAAAAGAGATAAGCATTTTCATCAATTATAAACGAATATTCCTCATCCTCAAATCCTACCAGACCAGCGTGTATTTCAGAGTATGAGTCGGATTCTCACACTGTTCAGCCATTCTACCTCTAACTCTCCGTCGTCATAGCTTCCACCATCTAGACACACCTATAATCCATTGAAAAGTGTTTTACTTGACATTAACTCTTGGACCCCCAGGTTTTATAGCATCCCTCCATGAAATTTTGAACGAGTTGATCATGGATTTAAAGACTCGTTCTTCTTAGCAGTGAGCGTTTCGGCTGGCAAAGTGTTACCTATGAGCCGGAATACAGGATGATGCAGAGGATAAGTCGAAGCCGTCGCTGGATGAGGAAATTACTGCAAGTTTTCTGGACATTATTTCTTGGATCCTCAGGCACAGTTGTTTTTATAGCATCCCTCCATGAAATTCAGAACGAGCTGATCTTGGATTTCAAGATTCGTTCTTCTCAGTGAGTGGGTGGGCCAGCAGTGTTAGCTATGAGCCGGAATACGGGATGACGCAGCGGATAGTCGAAGCCGTCGTTGAATGAGAAACTACTGCACGTTTTGTGAACATTATTTCTTGGATCCTCAGGCTCAGATGTTTTTATGGCATTCCTCCATCAAATTTTGAACGAGCTGATCTTGGATTTCAAGACTCGTTCTTCTCAGTGAGTGTTTGGGCCGGCATAGTGTTAGCTACGAGCCGGAATGCAGGAGGATGCTGAGGATAAGTCGAAGCCGTCGCTGAATGAGGAAACTACAAGTTTTCTAAACATTATTTCTTGGATCCTCAGATACAGATGTTTTTGTGGCATCCCTCCATCAAATTTTGAACGAGCTGATTTTGGATTTCAAGACTCGTTCATCTCAATTGAGAGTTGAGATGGTTTTCTAAGTTTTACATATTCTCGCTTTTTTTAAGCTTGTCTTTTTTAAAAATTGGACAAAGAAGTTTTTATTTTGGATAAAATGTAAACTGAAAAACGATGGGGCTTCACGAAAAGGCTAACATCGCATTCTCGCGCTAGGACGGTGAACTGTCGAAAGAGAAAAGTCTAAGTCGCAGCAGATCATTTTTTGTGAGTTAATTATAACAGAAAAGACAATCCGAAACGAAATGGAAGATGATAATTTTTCTTTTCGTTTAGAGAAACGCATATTTTCTATTGACCTAGATTTAAAGTGAAGGAGGGGAAGATGAAAAAAATGCTTTAAGCTATTAAGCTTTTCTTTTACCGGCTGTTCTGTTCACAATGAAAAAGGGGCAGCCTCAGGTGAACGAGAAACGCCCTCAGAAAAAGGAGAAGAAAGGGCTATACACTATAATATAATGAATACCAAGCCTATTATACAGGGTAATATTAGCTAAAATGATTTAACAACAAATAAAACGACAATTGAGATTCCCGATCGGCTTTCTACTAAAAACAATGTTTGATCCTTTTTATTGTGGGTTTAACAGGCCTTTTGAAAACATTTTTAATCTCATCCGAACTATTTAATAATACATACATATCTTCGAATAAAAATCGACGTGTAGGCAAAAACGGACTCACCGTTTTTTCCGTTTAAATTGTAAAAAAGTTATACACAAAAACAGGCTTGCAGAAATTGTCTGAACGATCACAATACAGTACGGTCTTACGGACTACGGAATAAGGGAAGGTGACTGCGAATGTGACGGTTACCACCTTCTCACACGTTCACAAGTTCGCCCTGTCGCCGTCGGATGGCAGAAGATCCTCAACGACCAATAAACCCACGAACTCATATATTTAAACAATATATTTATTCATTTTTTAATGTTCTGCCTCATTAGAGAAATGCCAATATTTGATCGTACGTAACATTATGTAAATATGTGTTTCTTAATGACCTGTTGTTTCATAATTTGTTGAAGCCGTGAGGAGCGGTCAAGAAAGAGACCAACACCTTTTTTTATTTTTTTTTTTGCCGCGTTTCGACCTTTATTCAGGTCATCTTCAGGGCCTGGGGAAATTATAAAACATATGTTGATTGCAAATAATACAATATAAGATGAAAATATAAATTGTGAACCAACTTTTCATACTCACATAAAGTATGCTGCTATTATTGTGGTGTCAGATTGGTATTGTGTGAAAATTGTTGAAAAATGTTGTGAAACTTGAATTTGTATTATATAATTGTGACATGATGAGGGACGCGGTAAATCTGGGAAAATTTCTTTTATGATAGGCGGTTTTATTTAACTCAAACTAATTCGAGAACGGCGATTTTTTGGAACGCAACATCGGCAAAAAATGAAAAAGGTGTTTTTCTAAACTACCTCATTCTTGAGCGCTCCTCACGACTTCAATAAATTATTTAAATATTTGGCAACATAATAAATGATTTACTTATTAGAATAAACGGATAGTTTTCTAACATTATTCACGTTAAATCCATGATTCATTCAGATATAACTAAATACAAAACAACAATTAGAAACAGCAGTTTAAAAGTATTCGCAAAAGAAGGGTAATCATCACCCGATTAAGGATAGGCCGTGACACCCGGACACCTACTTTTGGACCATGGGCTATCAACAGCAAGGTCATTTCAACGCAATCAATATCCAGATACAAACATTCACAATCTCACCAACTAGTGTTCTTCTTCCCTGTTTACATACTATTCACCCAACTATTGTTGTGGAGTATTTGATATTCCGCCATCAACCCAATCACACTACATATTTACGCTTATAAATACATTCACTTTCAACCCACGCTAGAGGACACATAAATATCAGTACTGTATATAATAAAACAACCCTGTTTCCTCCTAGAATCAGAACAGGAGACCTGCTTGCTGCCGTGCTCAAGAACAATATACATATCACATGGCATTCCTAAGAAATTGCAACTGTAACTGCAAATTAACTTAACTTTTTAAAGATGCTTTAAATTATTTTACTTTGAAAAGATCATGAAGATTGTAGAATACCTAATGAAAATAGGATGATTAAAAAGTGAATGTTCCAGTTTTAGTGTAGTATGGTAGTTGGTCAAGATCAGAGTTTGACTACCAAATCAAAGTTAAGATCAACGTGCCAATACTTTTAAGACAATTTTATTTTTAAGAGGTTTTCCAATTATATCCAGACAAATTTTATGTTCTTATTTACTCATTTCTTCGTGTTATTTACACCTGTGTGTAGAAGTGCTAGTTTATACAAGCCTGCCATGTCTGGTATTTATTCTTAAACTAGGAAACTACGTTACACTGGCAAAATATCCTTATCAGGTCTGATAGCCAAGCAGCTATTAAAGCATAGCATGTAAACAAATTGCATCAAAATTAGTCAGTGAATGCTTCCAAACCTGGGGAAATACGACCTGATGAAATCTTGGGTACCACAATACAAAGGAATTTTGGGTAACGAAAGGCAGACCCACTGGCCAGAGGAGGATCTGCAAGACAATTCATGGGGCCTGAACCAATTCTTGGGGAAACAAAAATAAAGACAGTATCCTCCATCACAGAATGGATCCAAAAAAGAGATAAGGAGTAGTGGATAAACTCTAGAGGTTCTTGACACAAGCTTATGTTAAACCACCCCCTCACCAAGTCTGCCTGTTCAATTAGGCTAATTTAGTTATATTTGTAAACACATTTAAAATCCTCTGCCACTAGGAAGTATAATGGTCCTAGCCATTTTCCTTGTATTTACTTTTTACACACGTATGTATATATTATGTATTAAATAAACAAAAACTCAAACCAGGCCTGGCAAACTCACTTCAACAGTTCAAAACTAAACTCAGAGGAGTGATAGGACTATATACCGGTCAATGGCATCTGAGAAAACATCTTCCTAACATGGGTATATAGAATGATGACCACATTTATAGGTTATGCGATGAGGAGGATGAAATCCATATCACCTTTGATGATACTTTGATTGCAAAGCAACCGCTCAATGGAGATATAACCTGGTTTATAAAGAAGCCAGGGAAAGGGAGTTTCATTAATTTATATTATTTCAGTCATAAATTATAGCAACAACAGGCAATGACCTTATTCCTTCTTAGGAGATGGATCGAGTTGACTGCATTCAACTAAGGAACTAAGGAAGTACAATAAGCCAGAAGGGGAGCAAAAAACCTCTACTTTCTAGTATCCTCATTCATCATTGTCATCATCATCTGGTATACTAGTATACTTTAACAAAAAAGAAATGGACAATGGCGTTAGAAATTTTTAGAAAAATTTTCTTTTCAGACCTCTAGGAGTTTTATTATGTAAAAAAAAGTAATATTATATAATGGAAAACTACAAATATCCTAGTGTGCACTTGCTTGGCTCTATATGGAGAGCACGTAGGAGTGCCACCTGTTATGAGAATTGCGTTTTAGCACGGCAATGAGCATCTGAGTCCCCTATTCGGATTCTTGGAGGAAACAGGTCTGTTTTACTGTATTTTGTAGTACTTAGTTATTGTATAGAAATCTGTTTCTTTGCTTATGTTGAGACTGAACGTATTTTTTAGCATGAATGTGTATTGCGAGAGGGCTAATTGCAGAATGTTGAACCCCACTGACTCTAAATTAGTGTAGAGGAACTCCTATGAGTAGAGGAATCAATGGAGCAAGTACTCCATCAAGAGTGAATGCCACACAAATAGGAAAGAATGCATTTAAGAGTGAGTGAGAGTATAGATGGGAGACTGATTGCATTGTGGGGCCAAAATAACCTAGCTGTTCATAGCCCCTGGCGCCCAAACTCGGTTGCTGGATGGGTAAGACCGAGGTAATACAATAAATGATTTACATTTTTTCTACAGTCAACTCTGTTTAGTCTTATGTCATCGTTAAGCTGGTCTTAAAGAATAATGTCATAACTCATAACAAAAACTAAGATTCTTGCCAATCATTTTAAGGAAGTCTTTTCATACTTTCTAACCTATGGAATCAGTCAAGTAATAGGGGGACCAGACTATTGAACTACACTGATGGAGAAAATAAGCGAACCACTCTTAAATTTTAATGTAATTTGGTTTATTCATATTTTGTATACCAAAAATAAGTTTGGTTGTTAAAATAAGACATTTAACAAGAAAATGTTTAATGTATATAAAAACTTTTTGTCCCTTTAATAGTGAGTATTTTCACCTCTGGCACGAATCATGTCCTTTGCCTTCCTTGGAAAAGATTCTTCAGGAATTCTTTCCAATTCATTAAGAACAGCCGTTTCCACCTCTTCTAGTGTTCTTGGGTTTCGCTGTTGAACTCTTCCAAAATGTGTTCGATTGGGTTCAAATCTGGACTTCGAGCTGCATGCACTCAATTCCAACCTAATTCAGGTAGTCATCTACAATAAGTCCTCTATTATCCTGCATCAGCAAGAATCTCTCACTAATGAGGGGGGCGGAATATTGGGCTACATGTTCTTTGATTGTGCTTGTAAGTACCTCTGTGATGTAGAGACCCTCCTTTCACAACAACCAATTCGGTGCAGGCTCCTAGGAAATACCATCCCAGAACATCAATGGCCCAGCAGGGAATGCCGCCTGAGGAACCATACAGCATAGGGCGTACCTTTCTCCTTAGCATCTCCATATGAAAGTACACCCATCTGAATATTTGAGGCCAACTCTCCCCTCATCTGTAAAGAGAACTCATTCTTCCAATATCCAATTCACATGTTCCCATGCGAAGTGAAGCGTGGCCATTTTTTGGGCTGTGATAAGAAGAGGTCACTAGCTGGGTGATGGGCCCTGAGGTTATTTTCATTGAGCTTTCTTCGTACAGTGCTGGAGGAAATTGAAACATTTCGAACTTGTCTGATCAGATTTCTTATCCCATTTTGCCACAGTGCTGCAGTTTTGTAGAGCGTGATGACAGATAAATCTATCATATCTCTCATCTTTAGACCTAGGTCGACAGGTCGTGATGTTTCTCTGAAGAACCCTTTCTATTGTAGAGTGATTTACACTCATTCTCCTGGCGACTTGACCCTGGCTGTATCCTTATGTTACAACCCTGAAAATGTCATATTCACTCAAATGCCTGACTGTCACCACTGAAAAAGGTTTAAGAAGGTTTAAGAATAAAAATAATATCAAATGAAATCAATGAAGGACAAAAATTAACTGAAAGCGTTAGGCGTAGCAGAATGGAAGAGGATAATGTTATTTTTATGCAAATGGATAAATCAGTACAGATTAATCAGTACAAAAGTAAATGAAGGGAGTAAACAAAGCATTATTTACTGTTCATTTTGTCTATGATTAGCACTTAATTACCTGTAACTAATATAGAAACACCATGCATTCCACTTGAAACTACATAAATTGAAAGGTGCATTAAAGTTGTCCATCAGTTAGAGTGGTCAAAAATATTAGATATTATATATTTATCTTATTAGGTTATCACATAATCGATTGGATTTTAATACTTTTGTTCATTTTTTTGGCAGTATGTCATCATGTTTATTGTTTCCCTAAGAAAAATTGATGACCCCCAACCACGATCACATTGATATTTTCATATCACTTAACCTTAGCTAATTCATGCAGAATCTTTTTTTAGTTTACCAGCAACTTAACAGACTTCAACCTGTGCTCCAATTTTATATTTGTAGGTAAAGACCCATCAGTGTTTTTCCTTCAGTATCCAAAAAACTTGAAATACTCCTTTTAAAGCAATTAATA